GCTCAAGGTCGAACGATCCACGCTCCGTAGCCATTTTGGCTCAAGCCACGGACCTGGCCCAAGGCCCCGCGGCGCAGCGCGGCGGCGCGCCCGCGCGAGGCTCCTCCCGCCCCCCTCGGCCGCACACCGCCCCGCCGGCCGGCCAAGGGCAGCCATGGACTCCGAGATCCACGCAGCCAAGCACCTCGGCTTCGGAGACAGGGAGCGCCGCTTCGACGCGGCCTCGAAGTTCGGCGGCCGCGGTGGCCACACGCTGAGCATCGCCATGCCGAGGGCCCACGTGCCGGAGCCGTGCCGCGACGTCTTCGCGTGTGGGCCCGGCCTCGCCCTGGACCTGCACGGGGCCGCGGCCCTGCGCCGGGCGGCGGAGTTGGAGGCCAGCGGGGTGGTGAAGAGCGTGGCGCGGAGCGCCGACTGCCCCGACGTGGTCGTGACGACCTACCTGGCGCCGGAGGGGGGGCAGCAGCTCGCTGTCTCTTGCCTCAGAGCTGGGGCCAACACGCGGCGCTACGCCCGGGGCTTCGACCTGGTCCACATGGGCTGCTCCAGGTGCGGGAAGAACAGGGGGACGTGCAGCGGCTGGAAGGGGAGGACGAAGGTGAGGCGGCAGAGGCTCCGCCGGCAGTTTGCGGCGGCCTTCGACGCAGAGGGAGCGGAGGCCACGCATGGCGACGTGGACAGAGGGGCGGGCCCTGGGGATCCAGCAGAGGCGATCGATTTCGCCGAAATCTGGTCCGCCGAGGGTCGCAGGGCAGCGGTGTGCCCGCAGCCTGCAGGCAAGGAGCAGAGCGTGAGGGTCGCTGGCGCCTCGGTGCTCGCCGCGCAGATGCCGGCACTGCATCGCGAGGACTCTTGGGTCGTAGTGGATGTGCCCCAGGTGCTCATCGTGTAAAGTTTTGGAGACGGGCAAGCCGTCACAAGAGCGACCCCGGATCAGGCCTTGGGCCTGACGGTGCGGCGGGGCGCGTGGGTTAGAGTGCAGCGGCAGTGTACAGTGTACAGGATCGAAGCGCACATCTGCCCCACGCGTGTTCTGACCAGCGTACCAGCGTGCTGTCATGGCTGCGCACGTGCCATCTTGTTGCAAGGACAAAAAAAAAAGGTCGAACGATCCACGCGGTGTCAGAAAGCAACGCGGAGGTCGCCGCGGCACGTGAGTACTGGAACCCCAGAGGTCCAACGCTTTGAGTTTTCAGTATGCGGTCCCAGGGGGGGCCCCCGACCTCTCGTCCCGAGCCGTCTCTCGGTGGTCTCCGCAAGGGCCCCCGAGCCGTCCCAGCCGTCCCAGGGGGGGCCCCCGCAAGGGCCCCCAGAGGCCGAGAACAAGCAGGGAGATGCTTTCCCAGGTGAGCTTTTCAGTACGTTGGGGGTTTGGTTTTTGTCAAGGGCAGAAAGCGCCCCTACCCTTGTTTACGAGGCGCTGTGCGCTGAAACTCCTGTGGGCTGACAGGGTAAACCCTGCGTGATGTGCCGCGTCCTGGCGGCTCTAGGCTTTGGGGGTTCCCAGGAGGTTTACAGACCACGCGCTTGTAACCCATGGTAGGGTCGTTTTTTCATCCCTCAATTTCGGGCCGTAACTCCCTCCTTGGCGGTCAATGGGGGCGACTCGGAGAACCCCCGGATGCACACTCGACGTGGCGCAGCTGCCCGAAGGAATCTGGCAGCTCTTGGACCGCGGTGATGGCGCCCCGGGGGCCGAAGCAGGCAAGAGCAGCGACACTCAAGCAGTGGCGAAGCGTCCTGGCTCGCCTATGGCCCTACCGCACAATGTTCCAAGAACCTGTTTGTGGTGTCCACGAGATGTTCTTAGAACATGTCTGGCGGAGCCTGTCTTGTTTTATCACATCGGGTTTCTATGTTCTAAGAACAGTGTGTTTGTTCTTAGAACATTCTTGGGCTCTAGGAGCATTTCGTGGTAGGACTCTAGAAATGCCGGGACGGTCGGTCCCTGCTCAAGACACGCTTCCCTGCTGTTTCTGTTGGCTACGCGCTGGAGGTCAGAGCCCCGAATCATCAGGGGTAACTCGGGTCAGGGATAACTCGGGTGCGTTTTTCGGGAATCCAAACCCGAGTTACCCCGGACCCGAGTTACCCCGGATAACTCGGGCGTCCAGAGCCCCGAATCATCAGGGGTAACTCGGGTCAGGGATGACTCGGGTTCCTTTTCCGGGAATCCAAACCCGAGTTACCCCGGACCCGGTTGGTGTGTATATTTGAAGTGATAACAATTTGGTCGAAACCTCTCGCGGCCGACGTCGTGAACATGGCCCTGCGACGCACCCGACCCCTCGGCACCCATGGATGATATAAGGCGTGCCGACAATAGTGCGACAGCAACGCTGCAATATACAAGGCGATCATCTACATCGCGCGAAGTGCGCGTGGCCGACTCGCAGAGCCAGGAGGCTTGTGCTGGAAAGGCGAAGCAACACGATGACATCGGGATGGAGGAGCAATCACCTCGGCAGAAGCAGCGAGCTGGTGGAGCGTGGGTAAGATAAGGCCACACAGGCAGAGGCGCAACCAGACAATGGCATGTCAGTGTTTCCATGCCGAAATGCTCAACGCCTGCGCGGCCAGCGCTTCGCGTCGATGCAGCGCCTCGGAACAGTAAAAGCTCCCCTTGCGAGTGTAAGGAGGAGTCGAAGCCCAGCTCGCCCGCCAGCCTCCCCGCTTCCTCCCTGCACCTCTCAGTGCGAGCACTAAACGCAAGCAGGCGCGCCGCCAGGTCTGCGGGCGGGCCGCAGGAAAGACAATCAAGCCCACGGTCACGTATCATCAGCTGGTTGTCCACCGTGGTCGATCTCGAAAGCATCACGTAGAGATGCAGCCTGAGCGCGTCCAAACAGTCCGAACCCTTGAGTCCAGCGTCGATGACGACTCAGTTTCACAATTTGCCTGTATCCTTGCACCCGCGTCCTGCAGAAGTGGCGACAGTTTCACACGTCGCAGCCCCCCACCCAAGGATGGCGAGGTCCCCTGGCCCCCCCAGCAGCCCTCGAAACTGGCGACAGTTCCACACTTCGCGGCCACACCTTCAGGATGGCGAGGTCCCGTTTGGACCTGCGTGGGAACCCACTGTGCTGGCTCCCCCCAGCAGCCCTCGAAAGTGGCGACAGTTCCACACTTCGCAGCCCCTCCCCAGGGATGGCGAGATCTTTTTGGGATCTGCGTGGGACCCCACTGTGCTGGCCCCACCCAGCAGCCCTCGAAGGTGGGGACAGTTTCGTATCTTGCAGCCCCCAGGGATGGCGAGGTCCCGCTTGGATCTGCGTGGGGCCCCACTGCTGCCCCGCCCAGCAGCCCTCGAAAGTGGCGAAAACTCCACTCCTCGAAGCCACCCCTTCAGGATGGCGAGGTCCCGTTTGGACCTGCGCGGGAGTCCACTGTCTTGGCCCCTTGGCCCCCTCCGCAGCCCTCGAAAGTGGCGACAGCTTCAAACTTCGCAGCCCCTCCCCAGGGATGGCAAGGTCCCCTTTGGTCTGCGCTGGGTCCCAATGTGCTGCCCCGCCCAGCAGCCCTCGAAACTGACGACAGTTCCACACTTCGCAGCCACCCCTTCAGGATGGCGAGGTCCCGTTTGGGTCTGCGTGTGGCCCCACTGTGCGGGCTCCCCCAGCAGCCCTCGAAAGTGGCGACTGTTTTACACTTCGCGGCCCCCAAGAGGGATACGAGAGGAGAGAGCAGAGAGGATACCGGGGGGGAGGAGGGCGAGGAGGAGGAGGAGGAATTGGAGACCCTACTGCTCTATTCAAAACGAGAACTCAAACAAGGGAGGGTTGGGAAAAAACATGGAGTCAAGGGATCTGGGTCTCCACTGGCGTGGCCCTGGCCCCACTTGCGGATGCCCCAGCCCGACTTGGGGTACTCGCCTGTTCCTTCCGGTATCGCGGGGCCTACACCCTGCGAAATGCTTTGCTTAAGAAATCATGGGTTAAGAAATTCGCAGTGTCAGAATTTGAATAAAAGCCCAGAACTTCCATTCAACTCTTAGGATCCACACTGAAACATCAAGAACGCTCGAGACTCTGGCCGAAAACGCAAGTTTTCGTAAGCATCGCCTAGAGGGTGCACCCCCACCCCAGGAAGGGGGGCTGGAGGGGCTCGGACACCACGGCCCGACGCACATACAGTATAAGTATGTTGGGGTGTTGCCGAGACAGGTCAGACGATGCTGCCTGTCGGATCGGGCGGCAGCGCCCGCACCTCAGACGACGCCCTCTCCTCTGCCCCCGGCACCTCCCCAGAGATCCGACGTCGTGATTTTCTCGGTGCGGGGTCCCCAGAAGCCTCGACCCGTTCCCCGGGGACCGGCTTCTCGTCCCGAGTCGTTCTTCGACGGCCCCGGGGCCCGGCGAGGGCCTCTGGGGGCCGAAAAGTACGAAAAACCTAAGGCGTGCTTCTTTCAAGACGTCGGATCCCTCCTCTCCCTCCTCCTGCGCCTCCTCCTGCGCCTCCTCCTCCTCCTCCTCCTCCTCCTCCTCCTCCTCCCCCTCCTCCTATTGTTCCTCCTCCTCCTCCTCCTCCTCCTCCTCCCCCCCTCCTCCTCCTCCTCCTCCTCCTCCTCCTCCTCCTCCCTCCTCCTCCCCCTCCTCCTCCCTCCTCGACCTCGGCCTCGCGGGGCCCGCTGTCGGGCCCCCCCGGCCCACCCGACGCCGACCCGGGGCAACGCCGGCACCGCGAGGGCACGGCCGGGCGGGACCTCCGAGGCCGGGAGCGGGGGAGCCCCAGCCCTCCTCACGTATTGTTTGTTACAAAGGATTGGGCAAAAGGTGTCTTGTGCCAGGAACAGTGTTTGCACGTAGGGGTTCTAACTTGTGGTCTGAGGAATTGGGCCTTGGTGGCGGTCACGCGGCTATGTTGCCGCCGTCGCCGCAACGTCGTCGCCTCTTCGCCGGGTCCGGGGTAACTCGGGTTTGGATTCCCGAGAAAGGAACCCGAGTCAGCCCTGACCCGAGTTACCCCTGATGATTCGGGGCTCTGGACGCCCGAGTTGTCCGGGGTAACTCGGGTCCGGGGTAACTCGGGTTTGGGTTCCCGGAAAAGGAACCCGAGTCATCCCTGACCCGAGTTACCCCTGATGATTCGGGGCTCTGGGCGCCCGAGTTATCCGGGGTACTCGGGTCCGGGGTAACTCGGGTTTGGATTCCCGGAAAAGGAACCCGAGTCATCCCTGACCCGAGTTACCCCTGATGATTCGGGGCTCTGGACGCCCGATTCATCCGGGGTAACTCGGGTCCGGGGTAACTCGGGTTTGGGTTCCCGGAAAAGGAACCCGAGTCATCCCTGACCCGAGTTACCCCTTGATGATTCGGGGCTCTGGGCGCCCGAGTTATCCGGGGTAACTCGGGTCCGGGGTAATCGGGTTTGGTTCAAAAAGGAACCCGAGTCATCCCTGACCCGAGTTACCCCTGATGATTCGGGGCTCCCGGAAACTCGGGTTAACTCGGGTTTGGATTCCCGGAAAAGGAACCCGAGTCATCCCTGACCCGAGTTACCCCTGATGATTCGGGGCTCTGGACGCCCGATTCATCCGGGGTAACTCGGGTCCGGGGTAACTCGGGTTTGGGTTCCCGGAAAAGGAACCCGAGTCATCCCTGACCCGAGTTACCCCTGATGATTCGGGGCTCTGGGCGCCCGATTCATCCGGGGTAACTCGGGTCCGGGGTAACTCGGGTTTGGGTTCCCGGAAAAGGAACCCGAGTCATCCCTGATCCGAGTTACCCCTGATGATTCGGGGCTCTGGGCGCCCGAGTTATCCAGGGTAACTCGGGTCCGGGGTAACTCGGGTTTGGATTCCCGGAAAAGGAACCCGAGTCATCCCTGATCCGAGTTACCCCTGATGATTCGGGGCTTCTGATCCAAAGGGTCCGGGGTAACTCGGGTTTGGATTCCCGGAAAAGGAACCCGAGTCATCCCTGACCCGAGTTACCCCTGATGATTCGGGGCTCTGGGCGCCCGAGTTATCCGGGGTAACTCGGGTCCGGGGTAACTCGGGTTTGGATTCCCGGAAAAGGAACCCGAGTCATCCCTGACCCGAGTTACCCCTGATGATTCGGGGCTCTGGGCGCCCGAGTTATCCGGGGTAACTGCTTTAATTAGCGCTCCCCCTGGGGACCCCCCGATTCGCCGTATTGGCGCCCTCGG